TGTTGCAGAATAGATGCAGACCTTCTCCAGGAAGGCTTGCTCTGTCCTGAGAACAAAGAGCATCCCAAGTGGAAAGTGTGCTCATCTGTATGTGTTTTCCCCTGCCTACAAGTGTCCTCTTCTCCTGCGCCAGGGAGAATAGAGAAAGTTCTCTGTCCCATTAGCATGTATGCAGTTCCTGGCAGGTGATGTACTTAAACTCTCCCACCCACATCTTCCCAGATATTTGGGAATTCTTCCTTTGTCTTAAGAAACATTATATTTAAAATTTTTGTTCTAGATTTTCCCTTGCTCCTACCCCCTACTTTCTTCCCCTCTGCTACCCTCAGTGCTATTGTCAAAGCCCACTTATTCATTCGAACTCTTTTTTATTCATACAGTTGCTTTCTTTCCTTAGGCTCCCCATATAGATGAGATTGTTTGATATTTGTGTTTCTCATTCTGACTTATTTCACTTAGTAAGATCCCCTGGAATTCCTTTCAAGTTGCTGCAGATAGCAAAATAGCAAATTTCCATCTTTTTTTTAACAGTTATAGCTTCTTAGATAATGGGGGGCAAATGTGTAGCCTTTATGTGACTTTTCTAAATTTCCTCCAACCATATCTTAAAACAACATTTCCATCATTCTGACCATTGTACATAAGACTCTCTCTCTGAGAATGTAGCAGCCTCAATATGGTCTGACCCTCATTCATACTGCCCAAGCTAGCATTGGAGTTATTAGTGATGATAACTCTCGGCAAGATGCGTGGAACTCACTGTCTTCCAGAGTGCCTGGTCCAATTCCCTAAATGTTGATTATAATTCCATTTTCTTTTTAATTTCAGGGTTTCCAAAAAGTTTTCCATAATTCACTGCTTTTAAACATATATATATATATATATATATATATGTTATAAGGTAAAGGCCCTCCCATTGATCGTCGATTTGCTCAAGCGGGCCCAGTAACGTCTCCATTGGAGACTTTGTTGTTACTGTGTCTGGCATATCCAATACTCTCGGTAGCTTGCTGGGCTCTCCGAGAGGGGCGGAGGAATCGAACTCAGGTTGGCCATGTTATATAGTTGAGAGTCAATTCTCCCTGTTCCATCCTTTCAAGGGACGTGAGTGGTACCCAAGAATATTTGGCCTAGAAGTGGATGGAGCAAAATAAGTCTCATCCCTCAGAGATTCTCTGCACCACCCTCTTGGCACAAGGCATCTGTGGCTTGTATGTTCTTTGCCAATGAACTCCACCTTCCCAGCCTGCTTGTAAAGTGGATTGTAAATTCCTTGAGGGCTGAAAGCCTCTGATCTTAACCTATTTCTTTGCGTCCCAGTTTTGAATGTTTATCCCAGTATTAAATGCTCATATCATATTTATCCCCAGGTCGGCTACTTCTGCCTCCTAAATGTTCCCAGGTCTCTTTTGCTCTCAGCACATCTCTCTGCCACCAAGTTCCATCCCCTGTTTATCACTCCCTCGTACTGGCCCAAACTCCCTGACTGCTTTACTCAGAAGCCACAGTGAAGCTAAAAAAATTCAAAGAAGATTGTGTTCTTTCTCTGCTAAAAACTGCACACGTAAATGAGTTATTGAGTTTTCTCTACAAGGCTCCTTTCTTGCAGAGAGGTCCCTGGCAAGTAGGACAACTCAGTCTTCTTTGTTTCAGATCCTTCTTTTTTGATTATAGCAGCATCTAGTGAGCCCTTAGAGACCTTTAATAGCTTTAGAGAGACTCCCTCTGCTCCCCTTCTCAGCGTGGGGACTCTACACAGTGTCATAGAATGGCCTATCAATGATACCCTGCAAACTTCTGACTCTAAAGATTATCAAAAAAATAAATAAATAAAATAAATATTATCAGACTCTTTCCTGAAGTTACTGTATAAAACTAAAGGAAAATAGCACTAACATTATCAAACATTAAAGTACTATAAGAATAACAACATCACAATATTATAATTGTAATGATAATATTAATTCAATATTAGTGATACATAATGGGAATAGGGATGGCAAAATAATATGGTAATAGCACTAGTGCTGTACTATTAATGCCATAATAATGGTAATGGTAGAGTAGCAATAAAGTGCTATAGCATGATGTAATACTATCATGCAAAGTATTAAAAAGGAAACTCAGTACAAAATTTTGTGATGATCACAATATTTTTAAAGCCTTATTGAGGTTTTTTGTTCTGTTCCTACATACCTCCTGCTTCACACACAATACCCTTCTGTAGTTCACAGGCCTATTCAGTTGTTGGAATTTGGAATACTTTAAGTATTTACTTTTTATTTAAAATTTTAATATTTTTGAGTCTATGTTACAGTGAGAATGTAACTGGGTGTTGTAGCTCCAACTCTAAGATAAAAAGGACATAAAACTGCTCTGGCTTACCTGAATTAATATGTTATTGTCCTATTGATGTTATCAGTCAGTAGTCTCTGATTGCAAAGGCAGAAACGGACTTAAACCAGTTTATGGTGAAAAAACAGTTTCTATTATGGGACTGCTGTGTGTGAGTAAAATGAGGTGCCTCTTCTGGAGGGGAGGAGGCACAAAGAGAACGAGACAGGGGCTGAGCCATTGCATTCTTTTTCTACCCAGGTTCTCCATGAATGTCTTCTTGATCCTCAGAATCAGATAGCTGTTCCTGTGTGGCCAACAACCTCCAGTTGTTCTTAGAGCATCCAACAAAGTATGCCGCCATATAGGGTCTAACAAACATCTTTTTCTTTCCTACCTTATCCTCTCTTCCTTTCTTTTTCTCTTTTTTTCTAACATTCTTTTTAAAACAATCTTATTGGGATTGTGAAGATAATACATGGATTAAGGTTCTTCTTGCCTTGCATTCAATTAACCTCACCTTGATCCCCAGCCTGACAGATAGACTTTGGGTTCCTCCATGAGTGATGAACCAATGGTAAACCAGGAGCATCACCAGGTGTGTCCCCAAAACAAAACAATCTTATTATCCCACTTCAGTTCTCACACTAGATTGACCAAAGATGGAGCACAATGCTAGGCTCAGCTTGAGCTAAGTTCCCCCATTTTCTTCAGAACGTTTAGGGAAATATGAAAATATGGTAATTTCCGTGGACTATGAGCAGACTATATATAGAAGCTTAGTTTCTAAGATATTTTGTCATGTGGATGAACTCTGAGCTTTAATCTCAAGGGACCTCAGAACATGTGTGATCCCTCTCACACCAGTTGGAGAGAGGAAAAAGCATTAGGGAAGCAGAGAGCTTGTGTGTGATATTCTTTGAAACATTCCTTTGTAGCAAGAAGAAATTTTCTTTGTAGTTAATATCCATCTCTTATCTTCAGGAACTTATAGCTCACTATCAACTGTCATTAATTTTATGATATTTATCTATTCAACATCTATTGTATACATATGATACTCTGCAAATATTAAGGTACAGAAATGACAAGGACATAGTCCCTACCATAAAGAAAATTTAGTCTAGTGGGAAAGACAGCATATAAACATGTAGTTAGCACAAATGTGACAAAAACTACATTCAAGGTATTAATTCAGTGCTGCAGTGTTAGATGTGGAGACAAAGAATGAATTTCCATATTAATATTATTACGCTCACGATCATCCTGTTGTTCGTTGATTGCCTCGAGCAGGCACCAGTAATGTCTCCTTCTTCCTAGCCCTGAGATTTTAAAAGAGCCATATTCAATGCTCTTTTATTAATATTATATAAAATATATATTATACACTTTCTCTTCTCCAATCTGTTGTTTAGCATCAAGATGTTTTCTCCCTCATTCAAAACTTTCCCTGGCGAGAGCGATAGTACAGTGTGTAGAGGGTTTGCTTTGCATGCAGACAATACCGGTTCAATCCCTGGCATCCCATATGGTCTCCCAAGCACTGACAGGAGTAATTCCTGAGCACAGAGCTAGGAGTAACCCCTTAGGTGTGACTCAAAAAGCAAAAAAAAAAAAAAGACTTTCCTGTACATGGAAGTTAATAAATTGCCCAGCCCTGCCACTCATGTTATCTTTAAAACTCATAAACATAAACTGTGTGCAAAAAGAAGAGGAAATGTTGTTTTCTTCTAGATATGCATGAATAGAGACCCCACTTCTATTAAATTATTTCTTGCTATTCTACAACTCGTTTATGACAGCATCCAACCTAACAGTATCCAGTCCTGACCCCATGCCTTGACACTTTGGCACTATTCCTGATGGCCACCACTAACAGTTATGAAATACAGAAGTCCCTTTTAGAAAATGAAACCAACTCCAAGTCTATCCTCCAGAAGTATACTGATGGCCCATCTATGTGAATGCATCCTTCAATATGCTTCCCTCTATGATAGTAACACTGTGCCTCTGTCCCACATCTGAAGGTCAAGTGTATCTGTATTATTTTATGTACTGGTGAAGGGAAAAAGCTCAGAACTTACTGAAAGTCAAAAGAGAAACTGAGACTATGGATTCTGTGCTCCAGAACAGATCTGGATGCATTATCATTAAAGTATCTACAGATCACCCATTGATCTTGTCTTATTATAGATTTAACTGGACAGATGCAAGGTGGTACCCAGTTTTCTATTTCTAATTAGCTCTCTGGTGGTGCTGAAACTGCAGATTTAAGATCCTATGAAGGCAAGAATCTTGACTGAAGATGCTAATACCTCTTTAACTACCCTTAGGGAAAATAGCAAGTCAGTTCACTGATAGCTGTTTTTAGTATGAGATGGGATAGATAGATAGATAGATAGATAGATAGATAGATAGATAGATAGATAGACAGATGTAGATATCCTAGAGAAAGGCACATAACAGAAAAGATCTTTATATTAATGTGAAATGATCTGTAAACTTCCACATGTCACATAACTTCCCTTTGTTTTAATTTTCCCAGTTTTGAGTCGAGAGTAACCAATCACTCTGTGATTATTGATGCACATGATATTGTTTAGAGTCAAAGTATGGAAAATGCAGGTCATAACCTGTGATATTTTTCTTGTCTCTTTTCTTTATAGGAGATGTCAGTGAAAGAAAGGGTCCAGAATGATTACTAACCTATGACTCCCAACAGTATGACAGGTATCTCTTTGATTTTTTAAAATTTTCTTTGTGTGTCTCCAATTTTGTTTCAATTATAAAGAGCAATATAGATATCCCTAAGAACAACTTGAAAATCTTACTATTATATCTACTCCAACAAGTCAGTAAATTAAACATATCCTGTGAAAAGAACCTACAAATTTCTTTCCATCCTCTTCAGAAATTATGAAGATGCGTCATTATCACAAATATGATGGAAAAGAGATGAATATATTTATTCTTTACATTAACTTAGAACAACATGAAATATGGCTGTACTCATCTAGAAAACCACAGTCCTGGCATCTTCTCAAAAATGGTCTGTTAATTCCATTTAGTAGGAGAATCACAATGGAATACGATTAGATTACTAGGTAAAATGATCTCATGGTAAGGTGTCCCTTAACAAGGGGCAAAGGAGAAGTAGAATGACCCCCCCCACACACACATACACACAGATACACAAGCAATATAAGGTCACAATAGCACAATTCTTTATGCAAAATGTGGTACAATGGTTGTAAACTCAAACATCCTAGAAGCTATGCAAATAATACCAGTACATGAAACCAGAGGGGGAAAAAAAACAACCATACAAAACCAGAGAACTCTCATTCTCTTTGGAAAAATATTCATTCCATCCCTCAAGGCAATTACTAGTCAGCAGCAATGAAGTCCAGAGATATGGAGATTTTGGATTTTTAAGAGAATTTGGAAATACAAGTTTTAAATGAAATGTCAGGTAAAGATTAATAATTAACTTATAAAATATCAAAGACCCATGGACCAGTCAAAATATGTCTTTTGAACGACCAGAGAGATAACACAGCAGGTAGGGCATTTGCCTTGCACACGACTAACCCAGGTTCGATCTCTGGCATCTCATATGGTCCTGAGCACTACCAGGAGTAATTACTGAGTGAAGAGCCAAAAGTAACCCGTGAGCTTCACTGGGTGTAACCAAAAGCCAAGGGGGTAAACATATACATATATACATGCCTATTATTATTATCCATTCTTAAGTCTAGCATCATGTCTGCAACTGTCCTTTGAATTTTTATGGCAGTAGGGAAGATACCTATAGATCTGAATGTTATGGGCAACTTCAACCCATTAACAGTTCATTTATGTCACCTCCTGACCCTGTGACAAATTAAATATGCAAACTATCATCTAAAAGTACATTCCACAAGACCTGAGAAATTGAATTGACTAAAAGGTACTACTCACCCTTCTGACATCTAGAAGCTTCCCAGTGTCCATACTGCTGCATCTCCCAGTTCTGATTCTTTATCCAGTTATACATGAGATGCTGACATAGAAAATCTAGAAAGGGAAAACCAGGATGATTTCCCCAACAAAGGAAGGGCCTAAAAATGATATTTCATCTTATTTCTTATTAACAGGCACCAAAATATACTCACTCCTCTTTCTATTTTACTGTCAGTTCAGCTTAGATTCTTCCCCATGAAAATCTTGCTCTTTTTATGTCATAAAGTTTCTCATTCCATAGAAAATGGGTGTATTACTCACCCTTAGCAATTGCTTTCATTCTTAAGCAGTATGATTTGGAATCTCAACCAGGGGTGATAGCAAAAATCTTCAACTAAAGGTATGTGTAAGATCACAGATGTCAGCAGGTAGCTATACTGCAAAAACTAGGGCAAGTGTCTCCCTCTGGTAAAGGATGGGGCGGAATCATAGCTACATAGAGTGACACTATACTCTGATATTTGCCCACCTGAGAAAGCCTCTAAAAATATAGTCTCAAAGAACATCCCCTCTCGCTACCAGGTTTTTATACAATAAGGACCAGCAATTCACTTTTTTTGGTAAAAGCCCAGATCTCTGGCTTTGCAAACTCTTAGGTTCTGCCATTTAGCATGAAAGGTCATATAATATACAGAAAGAAGAGAGTGTGGCTGTGTTTCCATTGAACTTTATAGACAAAACAGTTCAGCCTTTGGCCCAAAGACTATGTTTCGCTGACCACTGTGTTTATGACCAAAGTAGCTGCAGTCATCTAGTTATTGAGCTGGAGCCACAAGGCCCAGTGAGCTTATCTCCAGGACCAATCTGGGAATCTGACGCCTCCAGGACAGAGCTTAACTGAGTCAACTCTCCAACCATCCTGTGGCAGTCAGGAAGTGTGGAACCCAGGTGCCACTGAGTAGGAAAAGGTGTTCTGCCTCCCAGAATTTATATCATAGTATAAAAATAAACAGCACTTTTATATTCAAGGGAAGTTGAATCCCCCCACTCAGTATATGTTGATAGACTTAGCTGAGTAAACCCTCACTTTAGACTCCCTAGCTTGTAGATGAAACCTAAACTCTATCCTCTCTTTTTTTGCTGTGGTCTTTGTTTATTTCAAGCTGCATAACAGACCAAAATACAGTTTCAAGCCATTGGAGCTAATGTGCTTCCTTTAGAAACATAATTTAAAGGAGGACGTATACATATTTTCTTTGAAGAAACATAATAGGTAATATTATAGTTATGTAATATAAGAAATCAATTATCTTTCCAAAAGAAACCTCCTTTTAAATAACTAAGAATATCGAGCCTGTTTTTTCTAAAATCATGAGACAAGTATCTTCAGATAAGAGTCACATTGTTGCTATGCAGACTCCTTCAAACACCATGCTTATTAAATTTACATCTTTTTCATTTGCCCAAATGAAAAATTGTTTATTTTCTGGAGTTATTTAATATCAGCTGCAGTGGAGTTGAATCTTGCCAAAGTTTTCTCACTGTTTTACTCCACCTAATTTGAAATCAGCACCATATGAAGTCATTCATTGAGAAATACTGTTTCTTAAAGAGAAAAACAAAAAAGTACCTCAATATGATACTTGATTCATTTAGAATTAAGTCTGGCTTCCTAGGTAATCTTAGAAGAATTTAACTCATATTCATGGTATTATAATGAGCTCTATTTTGCATGAAACCCTGACTCACAGTAGATAGGAGTTTATTCTAAGTGAATACCTAAAATTTTACATAACAAAGTTAGAGACTTTGGGCCTTGGTTGAAAAAAAAAAAGCCTAAGAACTCATATACTTCTAATCAGGCCTGAAGAGAGAAACCCGGAGGTATCTTTTGGCATAGCTAAACCTAATCTTATTAAATTAGTACAGAAGATAAAGTTAGCAAAGTATTTGGTGTTTTCTTTGAAATTGGAAATTGGGGCTCCAGTGATTTGAAATCACACTGTTATGAATCCTTCCTTGTAAATAGTATACTTTTCATTCAATCATTTAACCTTTATCTCTGCTTTGGAATTTGCTTGTCCATTTCATTTCCCTATAGCAATGTTTGTCTTTTTCTTTCTCATTCTCAATCCATTATATTGGCTATATCCTAGGAACCAGGGGAGAGATGTTTGCAAGGCTCTAACAGGAACTTTCAGTGTCTTTCCTTCACTGTGTAATCTTCAGATTGGTTACTTGTCTTGACCCTGAGGAGGGTCATTTTTAAGCAAAATGAAGATTTATGTACACATTTTAAATTTATGTTTCTTATTACTTCTGAGGTTTTAATATTTTAACTAAAATTTTTTTCAAGGATTTTTTCTACTTTTTAATTGGGCATATATCTATGGCTATGTAAGGTTTATGTTTTTCCCATTATTTGTAGAGGTGTTTGACAATTAGTGATAAGAACTAATAAAACCACTTATCCTCTCTAGATTGTGAACACCTAACCATTAAATAAAAATGTGAGACTAGTTCATCTCTAGTTACCCTTCTTATTTTAAGATATGATTTTCAGTGCTGGGAATTTGAATATTTATAAATCACATTTTTCTAAGAAAGGTTTATGCATATCAATAGTTGTATATAAAGAGAAATCTTAGCGAAATATATGTGCATTTTGAGACTATCCTGATGAATACTTTGTTTCATTTTGATTTGGGAGGTGGGGGAGGGGGTTGGGACACGCTTGGCTGTGTTCAAATCTTACTCCTGGCTCTGCACTCAGGAATCACTCCTGAAGGGGTTCAGAGCACCAATATTGAATGTCAAGGATTGAACCCGGGTGGGACACTTACAACACCCTATCTGTTGTACTAACTCTCCAGCCCCCTAATGACTATGATTTTTAGATCTATACAGAATTTGAGGGTTAGGAAAAAGTCAGTATTTCTATTAGACACATTTTTTAAATTTTATTTTATTTTTATAATGTTGCTCACAATAATTTGTTACATTTAATATTCCAACACCAATCCCACCATTGTGACACCTACCTACCACCATATTTTCAAATGTTTTCACCCCGACCCCCAAACCCTGCCCCCAAAGCAGGACATAAAGAATTTATTTTGTATTGCTTGTTATGAATAATCTGCTAAAAATGATCTAAAAAGTGGGCTGGAGCAATAGCACAGCCGGTAGGGCATTTGTCTTGCATGCGGTCAACCTGAGTTTTATTCCCAGCATTCCCATATGGTCCCCTGAGTGCCGCCAGGAGTAATTCCTGAGTGCAGAGCTAGGAATAACCCCTGTGCATTGCCGGGTGTGACCCAAAAAGCAAAAAATAAATAAATAATGATCTAAAAAGTTTCCTTAGAAGAAAGTGTGTGAAGATTGTTGTATTTCACCCTGGATCCAGTAAGCCCTTGTATAAGAGATTACTAACATGTTGTTAAAAGTAGAGCCTTGTATGCTTATTTATGTACATAAATGTATAAATATTTTTCCTCCCCAAGGCTGGTTGCCTTCTACTTTACACCCCATCAAATGTGGTGTACTACTCCTCTACTCTTGGTTCATCAGTGGTATAGAATATATGAGATGTCTCTTCAGGAATTCTACAATTTCAAACATAGTTATACAGCCTGAAATATCTAGTCTTGCATGGAGTCAAGGATGGGTGACCTACCCCCATCTCCCTGTGCTTCCAATAGCCTGACATTCACACCCGCAAACTGCCTCTGGAGCCATATAAGCTCATTAACAGCCATGATCCAGAGACTCACAAATAAACCTCTCAGGAAGGAGCAACACAGAACTATACACTGCAAAGATTTCTCCAGGTTCCCAAAGTCATCATTCAGCTAGATAGATAGATAGATAGATAGATAGATATCATATATATAAAACATTTTTATACATGCTATTTTACAAAGGTGGTTCTTCAGTATCCCTTGAACTTATTGATTGCTCCTCAGTGACCATTCAATTCCCCCATAAAAAGAATCACAGTTGTGTTCAAACCCTAAAAATACATAGAATATGCTTGAGGCTTGCAGGATGTTGACAGTAAAATAACATTATCACTCAAAAAAAGCCTGATATAACTAGTATACATGTTTGTTTCCCATTGTTGATAAATAAGCTCCAAAATGTGATTTTGTTTGTAACTACTTGGTAACTCATCAAACAATGATATAGTTCCTTACTATTGAACTTATAATAATATAATATTATTATAGATAATACTATTAACTATCAATAATTACACAGAAAATACACATCTCTAAAATTATGCATTTAGGATAAATTCTTGAATAAAAAGAAAATACTAAGTCAAAGGATAATGACTCTCTTTTAAAACTTTGTTAATAATAAATTTGACCACAAACACACATTAATTGATTACTTTAATATTTTTTTGCATCTTATCTGTTCATTTTTCTTTTCTTGTGTGCTATTTGTCTTTTACTAATGGTTTGAATAATGAAATTTAATACTTGTCTATCATGACTATACAAATATTTTTCCTTTTATTACATCCTTTTATTTATAGCAATATTTTATCTTTTCTTTTTCTTTATTTACAATAATCCAGATTAACAGAAAATTTATAAAACTTGTAGACATCCCAGATTCCCTTTGCTCAAGATCTTCAAGTTTTAACATTTAAAACATTTGCTTGGTTCGCTTGACCCTCTCTTTCTATTTCTATATAGTTTTCACTTTGAACCACTACAAGTAAGTCATAAATACGATGTCATGACATTTTTGTTCACATGAAGCTCTTAAGTTTCCATATAGCATGTTCTAGTGAGATGTTATTTTATGATTTATGTCTTTGTTGTCAAGCTTCAGAATGTATTCCAGTGAGTACAGAGCAGCAGATACCACTGGGTACTTTGGGATGAATTAGCGCATTCTTTTTTAATTAGAGACATGAATAATTGATTAAGGGCAAAGATTTTCTCAAAAAACTTCCTGTCATATTTACTCTTTATACAGCAGCCTTCCTCCAAAAACCTCCTTGCCCTAGACTTTAAGGAAGGGAGTGACATGACTGACCCGGTGAAGGTCCTTCTGCTCGAGTCTGGAGAGTGGCACCCCAGGTCTTTGTCCTGGAGCTTACCCCTGCTGCAGAGGTTGAGACACAGGAGAACTCTGTTTCCTCTCCCATGTTTCCCAGGAGCTGGGAGGATATGTATGGATTTATGCATACAGATTTGGAAAGAGCATCTGGAGGCTTACTTCACTTTTCTTTCAAATTCCTGCTCTTCCAGTTGGGCCAACAATAAAATGAGGCCTTGAATTCCATGGAATCAGTCAGATTACAATATGCCCATAAACAGGAGAAAGAAAAACACCAATGTACTCAAACACCAATGCTCCCCTGTTGGTGGAATCAATTACAAAAAGTAACTTTGATTTTATTTCCTAGGCATTTAACCACATGACACAATGGAGCCTTTTTTGCTCCTACCAAAATCACTTCTAAAAGAAACAAAATATTGACTGCAAATAGGACTAGAAAGGAAATATCAGCCTTCCTGAAATGTCTTGAGAATAAAAGGATCTCTCTCTTTTCTCTCTCTCTCTCTCTCTCTCTCTTTCTCTCTCTTTCACACACACACACACACACACACATACACACAAAACCATTTTAATTCCTCCCCCAATGTCCCTCCCACAAAGCTACTCTTCACACTGTTGGAACCTGATGTACTCTTCTGCCTTCTCACCCCACAAAGAAAGAACTCCTGGGCTGTCCCTGCCCAGCTGCACACATTACTCCCTCCTCATTCCCACCCAACAAGTCCACCAGCCCACTTTTTTAAAGATATGAATCCTGGCGCGGGAGCCGCCGGGCCGCGCTGATGGCGTCGGAGGCGCGGGCCGAGGGGACGCCGCCGCGGTCCGGGTCTTAGAGCGCGGGCCGGCGGCCGGGCATGGAGAGCGGCCCCGGGCGCCCGCGGTCGCCGGAGCTCGGGGCGGCGCCGCGGGCCGAGTCCGCGCGCGAGGGGCGCCCCGAGAGCCCGCGGGCCGGCGGGGAGGGCGCGGGAGCCGGCGGGCCCGGGCGGGGGGCGGCGGCCGCGGGCGCGGGGGGCCTCGCGCCGCCCGTCGCCGGCCCCGCGTCGCCGCCCGCGCCCGGCGCCTCGTCCCCGGGCCCGGACTCGCGGGCGCGCGGCGTGGACGCCGCCGCTGCCCAGGAGGCGGCCCCGAGAGGGCAGCGCAAGGTGACCGCCTCTCCCGCGCCAGCCGCCGCCGCCGCCGCTGCGGGCGAGGGTCCCGCGGGCCCCTGCCGGCTCGACCCCGCGGTCCCCGGCCCCGAGCCCGGCGGCGGCGGCGACGACAGCGAGTCCAGCCCGCCCGGGGCGTCGCCGAGCCTCGACTCCCTGGGGTCCTTCTCCCACCTGCCGTCGTCCCCCAGCAGCCCCGAGGCCGAGGCCGCGGGCGAGGAGGGCGCCGAGGGCGGCGGCCCCGGCCCGGCGGGGCCCGGGCCCGGCGCGCGGCGCGGCGGGGAGGCGCTGGGCAGGGAGCGCGGCCCCGGACAGTCGGTGTACCACATCAAGTGGATCCAGTGGAAGGAGGAGAACACGCCCATCATCACCCAGAACGAGAACGGGCCCTGCCCCTTGCTGGCCATCCTCAACGTCTTGCTCCTGGCCTGGAAGGTGAAACTTCCACCGATGATGGAAATCATAACTGCCGAACAACTGATGGAATATTTAGGAGATTACATGCTTGAAGCAAAGCCAAAAGAAATTTCAGAAATTCAACGTTTAAACTATGAGCAGAATATGAGTGATGCTATGGCAATTTTGCACAAACTTCAAACAGGCTTGGATGTAAATGTGAAATTCACTGGCGTTCGAGTATTTGAATATACACCTGAATGCATCGTATTTGACCTTCTTGATATTCCTTTGTACCATGGGTGGTTAGTGGATCCTCAGACTGATGACATTGTAAAGGCTGTTGGTAACTGCAGCTATAACCAGCTAGTGGAGAAGATCATCTCCTGCAAGCAGTCAGACAGCAGTGAGCTGGTCAGTGAAGGCTTTGTAGCTGAGCAGTTTCTAAATAACACAGCCACTCAGCTCACTTACCATGGACTATGTGAGCTGACGTCAACGGTCCAGGAAGGAGAGCTCTGTGTGTTCTTCCGGAATAACCACTTCAGCACCATGACCAAGTACGAGGGCCTATTGTATTTGCTAGTAACAGATCAGGGGTTTCTGACAGAAGAGAAAGTTGTCTGGGAAAGTCTACACAATGTTGATGGTGACGGAAACTTCTGTGACTCAGAATTTCATCTTCGACCTCCTTCTGATCCTGAAACTGTATACAGAGGACAGCAAGATCAGATCGATCAAGATTATCTCATGGCATTATCTCTACAACAAGAACAGCAGAGCCAAGAAGTCAGCTGGGAGCAGGTTCCCGAGGGACTCAGTGACCTGGAACTGGCCAGGAGGCTGCAGGAGGAGGAGGACAGGCGCGCCTCCCAGTACTACCAGGAGCAGGAGCAGGCGGCCGCCACCGCCACGGCCGCCCCACAGGCCCAGAGTCAGCCAGCACAAGCCTCCCCATCAAGTGCAAGGCAGCCTGGGAGTAGTGAACGCAAACGAAAAGAACCTCGAGAAAAAGAAAAAGAAAAAGAAAGAGAGAAAAATAGCTGCGTCATTTTGTAGCAAGTCTCAGATTCTGTCGGAATCAGCTATGGCTCGAGAATCAAAACCACAGGAGGAAAAGAAGGAAACCCGATCAATACCGTCTGTGCCTGATTTCCCACTGGGTTTTGCTCGCTTTTTTGTGTGTTTCTTTTTTTCAGGGGAAAGGTTGTTACTTCATTACAATCAGACTTTTCCAAGTCACACAAGTACATTCTTTCAGAGTTGTTTTATGTTACAAGTTGGAAATGCTGTGTGTTGGTTGTCATTCATGAAAAGGACTGCACTTGTAGCCAAACGAGCAAGTCACAGCAGACTTTGTGTCATAGTGACATCCGTCGCCCATATCAGTTAGTAAGCTATTCTAACTTCTGTTCTAACGGTGAATGGAGGTGATTGATTTTGTACAATTCCTTTCTGAAACCTAAGTATTAGCACAATAGTTTCTGAAATTAATTTTTACAATGCTAAATTATTATCTAATCCATGAGAAACCAGGGATTTAATATAGGAGTTTAGGAAGAAAAAAATACAAAAAAATTAACAAGATTAAGTAATCCTTAATTGTATATTGGACTAGTTCAGCCCTTAAACAGCTTTACCTTTTCATTAGGAATGTACATTTTAGATATTCTCTTGAGAACTGACAATGAAACTTGGATGTAATTTAGATAGAAAAAAAATAAAGATTTGTATTTCTTTTCAATAGCAAAAAAATGCATAACACTAATATTCATATCCTATTGTAATCAGATATTAATGACTTTGTAGTGTTGTGAGATTTTGAGGAATTTTGAAGTCTTTAATATAGGAAATTCGGGCCGCAGTTACTGTGTATTAACAGTTGATCCATGAATATAATGAGGGCACTACAGTGGATGCTAAACCTTGTAAATATGGGTAGATAGGAGAGCACATAGGTCAATGTCTACCTTTTTCTAGAATTACCTTATAACCTTAAATTTCAAATCATGTTTATTTGCAAGAGAATTAAATATACGTGTTAAAAGAAGCCCCCCCCCCCAAAAAAAAACACATTTCTGAACGAAAGTTACAGATAATCTCTGAGTGTATTGAAAAACAATAAAATTTGGGACTAGATAATAATTTTGAGGAATCTATGTGGAAACATTTTTTTAATTGATTGGGGAACTAAATTATGTATAACGTCTTAACTAGCACTTAAGATTCAGAAAGAATATTGAACTTTATTAAGAACAATTCATATTTTCCTCCTTTTCGAGAAATAATTAGGGAAACTAGTCTCCGTAAGCCTTTTATTTAAAGTTTTTTTTTAGTTGATTTTAAAGAAGTCTGTTGCTGCTGCCAGTTGATCAGTGGTATTCGTTTTAAGTGTCAATAAGTTTGCTTAAGAGCATCTTAACCCCACCTGAGCATCCACTTGGAGAATGTCTTTGGGGTGACAATAGACCTCAGAACGTGTGGTCTAGATTTCATAAGCTATATCCTTAACACTCTCTGAGATCCAAGCCCAGTTACAGGATGAATCTTTATAGAAAAAGCAAAGTCTTATTTATAAAAGGAATTATTTTATGGGGAAAATTCAGGGTGAGGCTGCATCACTGATGCCCTTCTCTACTGCATGTCTGCTTATGTTACACTGTCTGTTACTCAGCCCCTCTGCAAGCATGAGAAACCATCAGAGAACTTGTTTGGGGTATACAGTTCTGTTACAATATTTGGTGTGTCTCTAGAGAGTAATTCAGAGTATATATGCTCTGGTAAAATAATCAGATGTATTGCAGAACTCTCTGGTGGCTCAAACAAGTGTACCGGCCTCCAAGTTTACTCTTGATTTCTAACTGTTGATTGAAGGAGAAAAATTCAGACCTTAAAGGTTTGTTTTTCCCAGAACAGATAGTGACAGTACATTAGATTCAATAAGAAAAAAAATCCTAAGAACTCTTAAGAAGCATATTAGTGACATATTTTCCAGAGTTACATACTTATCTATTTATTACTCTTGAAAAATATGTGTATTCTGTTCTCTGTTACTATCTTAATTTGTTCCAAAGATAATACTGCCATTCTACATTCCCTCTGGAAGGAAAAAAAAAAACAAAACCTCAAAACCAGCAACGCTGCTATCAGATAAGTAGATATCAATGTGTACTTATATAAAAGAACTAAAAAAAAAGTAGTGTGTTTGTTAATTCACTCTTTTTCTATGTAATATTTCCAAGTCAGACTTTCTTACATTCCTGGAATTCAGTTTGATATACCAAGTATGTAATAATGATAAAATGTTCACTTTGATTACTGTGAGGGGAAATGAAATGTTTAATTCTATTAAAACAAACTTCTTAGAGATGCTGGTTTCCATCCTTGATGGTGATAAAGAATTTAGAGTTATTGTGTCTTTATTCTCTTATATTTGTCAGTGCAACAAGTTTATATTCAGACATTTCATTGCTGGTTTGGGTACATTGGAATTTGATAGCATATTAAAGTCTTTTCCTTTACAAAAAAAAAAAAAAAAAAAAAAAAAAAAAAAAAAGATATGAATCCTTCTGTCCACACCTCCCACTTGCCTCCCCTTTTCAAACCCTTCTCTGAAAATATGCACTTCTTGGAAAACTCATCATCATTTTTGAAGGCTTTCACCTTAGAAAGCAGAGAAAGTAAAACAATAAATTTTTACTTTTTAAATTTCCTCCACATTGGTAGATGAGAGTGCCAACCACTCCATGGTGTCCATTCTGGGAAAGAGAGAGGACCAATCCATCAGTTTGAGATTTTCTCCAGTTTCCACTACAACTGGGAAATTAAGAAAAGCAACAGAGAGAAAACAGAGAGAGAGAGAGAGAGAGAGAGAGGCAGACAGAGACAGAGAGACAGGGACAGAGACAGAGAGAACTCGTTTCTGTGAAGCTAACATATCACCTTTAAAATAAATGCCCACTTTATTTAAACACCATGGTTTACAAAGTTGTTACAGGCATTAAATTTTTCAACACCAATCCCACCATTACTCTCACTTTCTCTCCACCATTTCTCCATTTCCCAACCACCCCTCAAGTCTGCCCACATAGCGGTCCAACAACAATTTATTTTATATTGCTTGTTGCCACTAAATGGCTAATGTGATGATCAAAAAATATTTCAGTAAAAGAAAACTTCTGAAAATTGTTGCATCTTGCCATAGGGACATTAAGCCCTTCTTTGAGGGTTGACTAAGCTGTTGTAAGTTAAGCCTTCTGTGTTAATGTTTTTGTTAGTCAAAATTAGTCAAGTTATTCCCATTCAATCTCATGTGCTACTACTGGGATGTCAGTATTATAGAGTTTGGAGATTTAGCTCCAGAAAATCCAGAATAGTTAGCTGGGAAGTCCAGAGGGAGGCATGGTTGTGGCTTGAGGTGCGAGTGCGGCTGCCAGAGCTGTGGTAAAACAGGAGCTTGTTCATACCCCTCACAAGATAATCCCTGAGGTCTCAGCCAGGAACAGATATCCAAGAAATTTCTGTGGCTAGTTGATCTCTTTCCAGCTTTATTTATGAGTCTCTCTTACAGTGGTGGTGGTGGGATGTGGTGAGGCTTCTGGGATTTTCAGAGGCATAGGGAGGTGGGTGGATGTCAGCCATCCCAACTTCAAGAAAGTCTCGTGTTTTCAGCCAAAAATAAAACCCATGTACCTCTACATAGTGGAATACTATGCGGCTGTTAGAAAAGATGAAGTCATGAAATTTGCATATAAGTGAATCAACATGGAAAGTATAATGTTTAGGGAAAGATAGGGTGAAGAAAAAAGCAATTTCTTGAACAAGTTATGAATTCATTTTAGAAGTCACTGTTTACAGTGTTTAGCTCCTTCTCCTAGACCTCGACCTCTGACCTCTATGCCCAACCCTCCTCCACCATTATTCCATCCCCCATTCCTACCATCACCACCAGCAGCATCATCACTCTCCACTGTTACCAACATAATATTCAGATTTTTCTCATCTCTACCTCCTGCAAGCCTGCTGTAATCGAGAACTACCCAACCATATCTCTACTCAAATTCAGCTACCAATCACAAATAACAACCACAACCTAAGTTCTGTTATGTCAGAATCTAGTTTCCTCTCTACTCTGCCACATGCCAGAGTTTACAACCATTGAACATTATAAAGGAGCAAGGTGCTTCCAAAAAATTTAAAGTAATCTTCCCCCTATTCCTGGGCAAAAAAAAAAGTGTTCCTAATGGGTAGATGATGATTTTGATGGCAGTGAGCCAAGGCTTGGTTTTATATGTTTCTGTCCTTACCTGTCCCCCTTACTGAACAATCCCGGGCTTCTCTGTCCATCTTAGCCTTTCCAGTATTGGCCATGAATACATTTCCCTCTGAAATTTGTCTGTGTTGTAGAAGTGAAACTGTTTAGAAAGCCTAACTCCTCAGTCAAAGGACTATGGTTTTGATAATAAATCTGAGCTGAGGATCATTTTCTCCAGTTCTCACTTTTAAACCATGGCAGGCAAAGACTCCCAGGGCAAAATGATTTGCCCAGTTTTGAGCTTCCAGACCATCCATTCCCAATACTTTAAGAGTATGTTTCCTTTGCTTGTTCTTAACTGATGCTTTTAGTCTTTAGCAAACAAATGTGCATGTTGAATCTCTTGATTAATCAATTGTCCCTGAATTTAGTGAGTAAACCCTCCTCCTCTCTAGTGGAAGACAAGGTAAGTCCTTCTCAAACTTGCCTGTTGGTAAGAATTACCCTAGGAGTTTTGTGTCTACACTCATACCATTCCCAGACTAGATAAATTCTTGTAGACCCCAGAATCAATATGGTTTTTTATTTTTATTTTTGTAATTTCTCTTTTTTAACTTTTTTTTGATTGGGATTCTGTGATTCACAATTTCTGTCAGTGATGTAGTTCCATGTAAGTAACTCCAATACCACACCCATCACCAGTGTACCCACTTCCCTCTCTCAAAGGCCTCAACACCCCTCCCTTTCAAAATTTCCCCCAACTCAATTGTGTGATAAGTTTCCTCATTCTGTTGCTTTTGGACCTTTGTTACTACCTTGCTGTGTATCTTTAAGTCCCACATATGAGAAAGATTATTCTGTATTTATATATTTTCTTTTAACTGATTTCTCTCAACATATCTGTAGTTCCAGCCATGATACAGCGAATTGCATGATTTTACTCTTTCTTAGAGCTACATAGTTTTTTATTGTATGGATGTAGAAACCACAACTTTTTGTTCCACTCATCCAAAACTGGGCATTTGGGTATTTTTCATATCTTGACTATTGTACTAAGTTCTGCAATGAACACAAATGTGTATATATCCTTTCTAATTAATGTTTCTAATTCAAAAAGTTGTATTTGGGGCATAGACGACAAGAAGTTGTATGTGAGTTCTCAATAGTCTTTTTGTATGTGCACTGGTGAAGGGATGGGTATTGGAATATTATATGACTAAAACTCAATCATGAACAGCTTTGTAACTGTGTTTCTTAAGGTGATTCAACTAAAACCTTTAAAACATAGTCTTTCTAGAAGTTTTTTTTAACTTTGAACACAATGGTTTACAAAATTGTTCATAATATAGTTGTTTCAGGCATTCAGTGCCAATGCCACCACCAGTGTGACCTTCCTTCCACCATTGTCCCCAATTTCCACTCTATATCCCTTAACAGGAACAAAATAATGTATCTTATATTTCTTTTTACAACAATTCAAATAATGGAATTATTTTAAAATCACGATCACGACCACCCTGTTGTTCGTCGATTGCCTCGAGCAGGTGCCAGTAACGTCTTCTTCGTCCTAGCCCTGAGATTTTTTTTTTTAAAGTGCCATATTCAAGGCTTTTTTTTTCAGGGTTAGGAGAATGAGACCCATCATTGTTACTGGTATTTGGCATATTGGGTATACCACGGGGAGTTTGCCAGACTCTGCCGTGTGGGCATGTTACATTTGGTAGCCTGCCAGTTTGACCAAATTAGGAATGAGATGATAAGATGTGGATAAGATGATAAGAAGCTTCCGGGAGCTGAGTG